TGTCAGTCCATTCATCAGAGCCACTTCCTCAGGTTTAGCACCTATATAAAGATTCACACACTCATATACAAATACGCACGTCCATAAAAGCAGTCTGGCTAAATCAGGAGCTCCAGGGATTACATCTGGGAGTAAAGTCCTCTCTTTACCCTGTTTACCCTGTTAACTTCACACACTCTATCTACAGACAGACGTATGGCTTCTCTCTGTGTTCACATCCCATAGAAATATGAAAAGCAAATGTTCCCCATGAACCTCATTTATTCATTCACATTCTCATACTGGATGTGACTGTGACCGGTCAACACACAACTCAATATCAAACTCTTAGTTAGGAAGCTCTTAATTACCAACGATCTTTGCCATCAGCTCCTCCAGGGTCTCTTCGGCCCAGGCCCAAGGTCGCGACCCCTTCAGGTGGCCATGGACTCCACTGGAAACAACATGTGGTTACGGGTCACTGCAGTATTATGGGATTTCCTAAACCTAAAGGGAACTGCTTTTAACAGTGTTTGTCACTACAACAATTTTTTTTGTAATTTTAATGGAAAAAGAAAAACACGTTTTAGTAAAGAACCTGTTTACCAGTTACCTTAATTTTTATTTTTTTTTTTTGGGCAGTGAAATTTATTTTTGGATAAAATGAAATGAAATGAAATAAAATGTAAAACTTTTTATTTTATTTAACAAGATAATAAATATAGAAAACAAGCTTCTACTAAACAAAATGTATGGAAAAATACAGATACCAAAATGCCATCCTAAAGCCTGAAATATAAATAGAAAATGAAATAAATAATAAATAAAAATTAATTTATGATTTAGAAAATAAATATATTTTAACAAAACAATTAAGGAAATTATTCTTCTAATAAGCAACGTGTATAGAAAAATGCATTCACCAAAATGCCATCTAAAGCCTGAAATATAAATATAAAATCAAACATATAATAAATAATGGAATTTAAATTCAAATTACATTATGATTAAGGGGAAAAAAAGTGTTTTATTTTACAAAACAAATATAGAAATATAGAAAAGCAAAATAAAAGAAGAAAAATACAGTCACTAAAATGATTTTATTTGATATTGATGATATATTTTTCTGAAACTGATTCAGCATTTGATAAATCAAGACAGATGACTCACATTGTGGCCCATTTCTCCAGCTCCTCTTCGATGTATTTTTTGGTGTTTTTCGGCTGGAGACCCAGTGAATTCCCAGCAAAATAAACACAATCTTCAGAACCGTCCACAAGTGACAAATCCGCTAAACACAGATGAGAAATCAGATGATATATGAACTTGAGCAAACACTCAATCATGCTGATATAATTTGAGCCATATGTCATGCTGTGATACATGTCGGGTCATAAAGCGTCACTCACACGGCGGCAGGTCTGATATTTTGGGCACGAGGAACTCCTGGCGCAGCTTCTGCAGCTCATCGTGTCGGTCCAGATGTTCTGCCAGCCTGCGGGACGTGGGACTACAGTTCAGCTCCTGCGAGACCCTCGTGATCGTCTGCTGCACGCTCTCCATTATCAGCACCAGATTCAGAGCAATCAC